TCTCTCTCCCCTGGCAAATACAATCCCTTCCCACCCCTCGGCAAAACTAAAACAAACAAGGTTTGATTCAGGAGGTTCTTGCATTTCTTTCTTCTTTCTTCCTTTTTTTTTTTTCTTTTAGAATTACTTATTCATTATTGGTATATTTTAATTTGCTATAAGTCAATGTACACTCATCAGAGAGACAGAGAAAGGGAAAGTGAGAAAGCAAACCACCAGGTCTGGAACTTGAATCCTGCTCGGCCACGTGAGAGTCCAGCGCCTTAACCACCACACCACCTGCTTACTCTGGGGCTCTGCATTTCTAAAGCGCTCCCAAGCATGATAAGCTGGTGGTGTGGCTGCTGTCCCCAGATCTAGTTCACCTACCCGCTCCGCCTCACTTAGCAGATGAGGAAACCAAGCGTAAAGCAAGGAAGGTCATGTGACAAGTCCCTCATGCTAGGCTCCACGACAGCACCAGGAGGGAACACCTGGAGTCCCGGGCAGAGCTGCCCACGTGACGAGTGTGCAAAACAAAATTTGTTCAATGAATGGAGACCAAGAAGAGAACCCGGGGACTAGCAGTTAGCGTAATGGCTATGTCGCTGGACTCCCGTGTAGTCGACAGCGGTTCGAGTCCTGGACCTGGTGGCTTAAACTCACGCCGGGCGCATTCCAAGAGGAGAATGGAGGAGAAGGGATTGCGGTGTGGGCATCCCCCTTGATTTCTCGCTTTCTGTCTCTCTGTCTCTTTCTGTCTCTCTGTCTCTCTGTCTCTCTGGTGAGCCCATTCGCCCCTATAGCAAAAAATCTCCAAAAAAAAAAAAAAAAAGAGAGAGAGAGAGAGAGAGAGAAGAGAACCTGGACCTCTTGACTCTTCTTCCAGTAGAAATTAGGCATCATTAGGCATCAACGTGCTCACATTTTATTTCCCATCGATTAAGATTCTCCAAAGTGCAAAGTAGGTGCAGGAGTGGGAGAGACAGAAAGGCCTTGGGGTTCTCTGACTCGCCACAGCATAATCTAGCACTGGGATGGAAAGAAGGAAGCTGGGAGCTGGGCGAGCGACTGGTGACCTTGAACCCAAAAGCTTGGGCCGTGGTGTCTGCCGGGAGCACGGAGTTGTTTGCCGCCCACCGTTCCGCACAGTGCAATTCCTCCTGCGGGACCCAAAACCCGGCTAAGGAAAAGCAGGGCGGGGAGAGCGGGCGCCCATCTGCCCTTCCTGACGTCCTTCCACCTGTGCTCCCTCTCGCTCCCCGCAGCATCAACCACGACCCCAGCCGCATCCCCGCGGACCTGCCGGAGGCGCGATGCCTGTGCCTGGGCTGCGTGAACCCCTTCACCATGCAGGAGGACCGCAGCATGGTGAGCGTGCCGGTGTTCAGCCAGGTGCCGGTGCGCCGCCGCTTCTGCCCGTCGCCGCCACGCTCCGGGCCCTGCCGCCAGCGCGCGGTCATGGAGACCATCGCCGTGGGCTGCACCTGCATCTTCTGACCCAGAGGGTCCAGAGGCCAGGTCGGCAGCTGGAGACGGCCCTCCCTGCACCCCCGCGCCACGCAAGGCCAATGAAAAGTAAACGCAGTCTTTTGTAAAGCAAGACTTTTTGGGTTTGCTCTTTGTGGCGTCGAAGCTAAAACCGGGATGAGAGTAGGAGGTCTCTGGGAGGTAAATTTCAGATCAGTAGAAAGAAAGATTTTCCACCACCCTGAGTTTTCCAGCGGAGACAGGCTATTAAAAACAAAACAAAACACAAAAAAATTGCATTCATTTCTGTCATGAAGGACAGTCACATGCGTCCTTTAATGGGGTGTGTAAGCCCGTATTTCAACCGTGTTATTGTGCCTCGCTGGGTATTAATATAGGAGTTAACAAGAGCTCACTGCCCAATTCAGTCGAGGGTCCTTGGAAACCAGCTCTTTTGAGATGGAGGGCTCCCGGTCTCTGAAGGTGCCATACTAAAGCTGAATCTCTTAAGAGCCCATTGTGGAATAGATCCTGGTTCTGGTCTGTGTGGGTGATCCATAAGGTCTCTTTCAGCTCTGGGATTCTCTGAAGAGCAGACTTACACTTAAAGGGGGGTCTTCAGGTTGACAAAGAGCAGACTTTTTAAACATTTTTTTGAGAGGTTTTTGCTATAGGACGCGTGCACTTGCCAGAGCAACAAAGAGACAGCGACAGAAAGCGAGAAATCACTGCCCCAGGGGGATAGCCACTCTGCAATCCCTTCTCCTCCATTCTCCTCTCGGGATCTTGGGCATGCATGCACACGCACCTGGCGTGAGTTTTAGCCACCAGGTCCAGGACTTAAATCGCAGTCAACCACATGGGAGTCCAGCGACATAGCCATTATGCCAACTGCTGGTCCCAAGAGCAGACATTTTTAACCTGGGCTAGAAATCCCTGAAATGTTTCTGTGTGTATTTGTCTCTGGGCTGAGGACCCCTGGTTTTGAACAAACACTGAAGAGGAATGTCAATGTAGATTACTCTTTCATCCATCCCTGTCCACAGGAGATCTGGTTAGATGGTTTGCTGGCATCGGCATCACCTGGAAGGTTTGGTAAAATGCCGATTGCTGGGTCCCACCTCTAGATTCAGCGAGTTGGAGGTATAAGGGCCGATACTTTGCATTTGCATGCATTCGTTCCTTTGCATTTCTAGTATAGCAGTCCTGGGTGTCACTGCTGCTGCTTTTAGGGACCACACTTTGAAAACCACTGGCTTAGATCAAAACACAGGCAGTGTGAACTGTCTTGTGCCAAAGCTCATGACGGCTCTTGGCCCCTGGGCTAACCTCCTCTTCCCCACCAAGCTTCTAACAATTCAGTCCTCTCCCCGGGTATTCTGACCCCTACAGCAAATCCCAAGTCAGCTGTTCTGGGGTCTAAAAATACCTTCCCTCCCTGAGACAGCTGAGGGGCTTGGGCTCTTTACCGCGAGTAAGAATAGCTAGCTTGGTAGTTACTGTCATTTCGATTAAAGGGCAAACAGCGTGGTGTAGGAATATTCCGCTGGGCTGCTCGAACTCCAGTGCTTAAGGCAGCTTCAGCTCTGCATGTTTTAGGCTCTATTTTGTGAAAGGCCAGTGGTATTAGGCATGTGCCTGACTGGGGTGGTAAGTTAACTTACCATTTTTGGTATTGTTCTAGAGTGTTTACCAGTTAAAATTACCCCAGGAAGCTTCAGCTTGATTCCAGACACATGGAAAATAGACTTCATGTGCCAGCCAGTGCTGATCCCATTAGCGGCCGCTTCTCCCATGGGGGCTGCATGTCTCTAAGCCCCCTGTGCCCCCAGCCTCCTCTCCAAGACTTAAGACTTCAGTCCCACATGAAGGGCTCACAGCCTCGAAAACCTTTTTTGAGGGGTGAGGGTAGGGGAAGGATGAAGTTGTAGAAGGGTTATTCCTAGTCCTGGGAGTCCCAGGTATGCTTGGGCATAGGAATTGGTGAGGGGCAACCCCTCATCAGGGTGAGAAGGGACCATCCTACCTGTAGCAGAAATCTGAGAAACATGCCAGTTAGTTGTATATGGATGACACCTTTTCCTCTTACTGGGCTTCAGGTTCCTCATCTGTGAAATGAGCAGATGGGATTTAAGGAGCTCCCGGATCTTTTCTAGTTTTACCATTCTGGGCCTTGGAAGCTTGGCCTTGTGAGCCTGGCTTCAAGGCAGCAGCAAGGAGCCAAGCCCTTTACAGAGCTGAGTATTCCTGGTACCCTGGAATCTCCTTTGGAGCAAGCCTGAATGTTTCATGTTTTCCACCCTGGTGAGCAACTCCTCTGTGAGGGGGGCTCTTCTGCCTTGTTCATGGAGATCCACTGCAATCGCACTTGGCATGACTCCGAAGCCCCTGCTGAGAATGGAGGACCCAGTGGAACTGCCCTGGTTTGTATCCTTTGTACACAGAGCTTCCTGGGAATGAAAGGGAGGGTGCTTATCAGAGAGAAGTTTTACATTGCCTCTGGTCCTCTGGGTCAATGCCAATTATCATCAGTTGCACCATGGCAGTGCATGCTGCCCTCATTTCTAACAAAGGTCATCACATATGCCATTACCTACTTTGATTTCACTGGACTTGAGCAGATTGGGGTGGGTCTAGCCCCATTTGCAAGTGGCTGAAATGGTGGCTTTATCTCCAATTCCATTAACCCCCTCTGACCTTAACGTTTTAGTGAAATCATCTCTGCTCCAGAGTGGACCTGAATGTTCTAAGCCAATCAGCTTAATCTCATCCCGTGTCACTGTTATTGGTCTGGTATTTGGGTCCCAAGCCAATCAATATGTGGCATCCCCCTGATTCAGGGTAGTATACCTGACCCAGAGCCCAGAATGTGGCTCAGGGGTTGTGAGAGACCTTCTCACTCTGGGAACTTTTGGTGAAAGAATGGAAGTGGAGACTGCATAATGATCTGTGCCTAGATTTTTGCTGTTAGAACCATTACAAGCCTTGTATTTCCTGAGTCAATCTAAGTTTGCTTTTCTAGTACTTCGACACATGGCCTTCTAATGGATCTGTTTCATCATTTCTGTAATAACCGATAAGCATATGCTTTTTGTACTTGAAAGACGTCATCTCTTCCACTGCCATCGCCATCACTCCAGCACAGTAAAAACCACCTTAGAGAGTTGGGCCCTTACTGACTGCATGCTGAACTCAATGAGTTTGGAGAAGCTCTAAGTTTGAGCTGTTCTATGAACCCATTGGGAAACCTTGGACAAGTTATTTCCTCACTTTTCGGCTTTTATCTTCATCTCTACAGAGAAGTGAATTGGCTTCTGGGGACTGTTAGGAAAGCCACAATGTTAGTGTCATTTGGCAGTGATGTCCCCTCCGGAAACCTGGGCCTCTCTCCTGAAACCTGATTTAGCAAGTCTGGGTGGGACTTGGGCTTCTGTATCTTTATCCAGCTCCCCTTTCTATCCACAGGAGATTTGATGTAGCGGTTTGTCTGTGAACCATACTTGCTGAGTACCTAGGGCTCAGATGCTCCATCCTCTCCCATTACAGAAAACAATAGATCCAAAAGGAATGAAAGGACTTTTTACTTCCTAAACACACTTAAATATTTGTAGGAAAAGGTGGGGCCAGCAGGTGGCATGGTGTTTAAGGTGCTGGATTCCCACATGGCTATGGTTTGAGTCCCAGATCTGGCAGCTTGAAAATCATGCCAGGTGCATATGTGGGCATGCCCAAAATCCCAAGAAGAGAATGGAAGAGAAAGGAGACTGTGGCATGTCCACCCCCTGGTGGCGAGTTCTCACTTTCCCCCTCTCTGTTTCTCTCTGGTGAGCACATTCACCCTATGGCAAAAACAAAAAAGCAACAAAGATTATAGAAAAAGCAAAGCAAAGCATAATTCTCTTTTTTCCAGCTAGTGTCAGAGAAGCAAGTACCAGGTTATCCTTTAAAGAACACTATCTCAACGCCTTTTCTTCCTTTTCTCTGCTGGGGTGAATGTCTAGGGTGAGGTATGACTGCTCTGTATAATCTGGGGACTGGTCTTCTTTGAAAGACAGATCCACTGTGTCCTCCTCAACCCCCACACAAGGAACAGAATAATCAATTCTTCCAGAGGCTAAGGGAAAGGTTCTCTCTTCTTCCAGCCTGCTGCTTCCCTTTTCCCACTAGTTTCCAAGAAGCGTAGAGCTAGACTGGCAACTCTGTTGGGGCAAACATCTCTTTGTGCAGTGTTGTTGAGAGGCTTGGAGATGGTGTCTAATAAATTCTGATTTAGATACCTCACAGTAAACAGGAGCTAGTAGCATTTCTTAGGTTTTCTGAGCTTCCTTTCTACTTTATTTGTAACCACCTGGTTGAAATACTTTACTGAGGTTGGATGTCTGTTTTGGGAGTAGCTAGTGAAAACCAGTAAAGAAATCAGACTCAGAGTTCTCTGCTTCTATTTCCTCCCATAGTCATCTTGGTTCTTAGTTAGAAAATCAAGTCAGAGCAGCTTGAGAAGATGGATTTTATTTCTTCTTAAAAAATAAAAAGAAAACAAACACACTCCATTGAATTTGCATCCTTTTTCTTTCTCTTTCTCTTAAAAATAAAGCAACCACTGTGAGGATCCTTAAGATATATCGGCCAACAGCAGGCCACCTGGACCCACCCCGGAGGGAAAAGACTCAATACATGAGGGATTGGCCAAGAGGCTCGTGGCTTACTCAGCCCTAGCTGCTGTGGGGTACGATCCATCTTCATTGGGGAACAGAAGTTTCAGGGCTCTCTCCGCAGCCCTCACAGTTCAGTCTTGACCTTGTGCATCAAATCCTTTTGGTCAATCTTGTCTAGGTCCTGGTACCAGCGGTTGTAGGCCAGCAAAGCCACGTTCTTGGCAGCTACGGCCATCACCTCTACAGAGCTGGCTGCCCACTCTAGGGCATTGAGGTAGAAGAGCTGGTCATGGAGCGCAAACCTCGGGATGGTGGTGCGAGAGCCGTAGAGGGGGTGGGCCTGCCACTCGGCTGTCTGGACTGAGTAATAGGAACGGAAAAGGGTCTTCAGCTGGGTCCGCAAGAGGGGTTTGGGGGACTGGACTCGCCAAACAGCTGCCTCCTGGGGCTGCTTCCGCCGAAAGTTGGCTGAGATGTTGACGGGACAGATGTTGTCCAGAGTACAGAAAAAGTTGGGGAAATCTGTGGTCAGGATGTTGGCAAAGGGGAACAGCTTAGGGTCAGGGAAACCAAAGTAGGAGGAGTTGAGGTAGCCATGAACCAAGGAGACGACAGTGGGCTGGAAAGAGCCCTGGACATCATCGATGGGTGGGGTGAAGCCTTCAAAGGTGAAGTTGCTGCTACTGTTGTCCCGATGCAAGGGGGTGGCAATGACCACAATGTCGTAGAAGTCAGAGCCGTTGCCCACCTCATTCTCATACCCCACCTGGTATAGGGCTTTTCCTTCTGGAAGAGAGAAGACAGCACAAAATCAACTTATTCCCTGGCATGTATCCACTGATCTCACATCTGGGGCCCAGCATTGAGGGTGCTGATGCTGGCTGGCTAGGCGAGTCCATCTCTCCATGCTGCTGTGACTGCAGCTGAGTCCTGGGCCAAAGGTCAGGAGACCCACATTCTTGCTCTGGTTCCACCATTGACTAGCTGGAAAGGACTGGTAAGTCTGTTGCTCAAAGTCTTCATTGGTCAGATGAAGGAGGAGCTGGACTGATGGAAGTCTCAGCTTTCCAGTGTTGACATTTGAAGTGTGACAACAGCACCCTCTGGTGTCACTTGGCAGGGCTGAGACTTCCCACTGCTTTTTTTTTTTTTTTTTTTAATTTAAAAGGTTTTTTTAGAGTGAGAGTGAGAGAGTGCGTGAGAGAGTGAGACAAAGTGAGAAAGCAAGCTGCCAGGTCCAGGATTTGAACTGTGGTCTGCCATGTGGGAGTCCAGCACCCCTATCCACCATGCCACCTGCTGATCCCTTGGCATGGGTATCTTTGATATTCTTTTTGGAATTCTGGGAATCTTGTCAAATTTGTGAATTTGTCGTCCATTATTTCTTCAAGTGTTTCTTTTAGCCTGCTTTCTTTCTTCTCTCTTCTCCTCTTGGGATTCTAATATCAAGGATGTTAGATCTTTTGTTACAGTCCCTGAGGCTCTTCATTTTTTTTTTTTT